GTCCCTGTTGCTCAGAAGGGAAGGGGGGAGAGGAGGAGAGCATTAGTCATTGGGGACTCCATAGTTAGGGGGACAGATAGGAGATTCTCTGGGAACGAGAGAGACTCGCGGTTGGTGTGTTGCCTCCCAGGTGCCAGGGTCCGTGATGTCTCGGATCGTGTTTTCAGGATCCTTAAGGGGGAGGGGGAGCAGCCCCAAGTCGTGGTCCACATAGGCACCAACGACATAGGTAGGAAAAGGGATGGGGACGTAAGGCAGAAATTCAAGGAGCTAGGGTGGAAGCTTAGAGCTAGAACAAACAGAGTTGTTATCTCTGGTTTGTTACCCGTGCCACGTGCTAGCGAGGCGAGGAATAGGGAGAGAGAGCAGTTGAACACGTGGCTACAGGGATGGTGCAGGAGGGAGGGATTCAGATACCTGGATAATTGGGGCTCATTCTGGGGTAGGTGGGACCTCTACAAACGGGATGGTCTGCACCTGAACCAGAGGGGTACCAATATCCTGGGGGGGAAATTTGCTAATGCTCTTCGGGAGGGTTTAAACTAATTCAACAGGGGGGTGGGAACCTGAATTGTAGCTCCAGTGTACAGGAGGTTGAGAGTAGTGAGGTCATAAATAAGGTTTCAAGGTTGCAGGAGTGTACCGGCAGGCAGGAAGGTGGTTTGAAGTGTGTCTACTTCAATGCCAGGAGCATCCGGAATAAGGTGGGTGAACTTGCAGCATGGGTTGGTGCCTGGGACTTCGATGTTGTGGCCATTTCGGAGACATGGATAGAGCAGGAACAGGAATGGTTGTTGCAGGTTCCGGGGTTTAGGTGTTTCAGTAAGATCAGGGAAGGTGGTAAAAGAGGGGGAGGTGTGGCATTGTTAGTCAAGGACAGTATTACGGTGGCAGAAAGAACATTTGATGACAACTCGTCTACTGAGGTAGTATGGGCTGAGGTTAGAACCAGGAAAGGAGAGGTCACCCTGTTGGGAGTTTTCTATAGGCCTCCGAAAAGTTCCAGAGATGTAGAGGAAAAGATTGCAAAGATGATTCTGGATAGGAGCGAAAGTAACAGGGTAGTTGTTATGGGGGACTTTAACTTTCCAAATATTGACTGGAAACGCTATAGTTCGAGTACTTCAGATGGGTCAGTTTTTGTCCAATGTGTGCAGGAGGGTTTCCTGACACAGTATGTAGATAGGCCAACAAGAGGCGAGGCCACATTGGATTTGGTACTGGGTAATGAACCAGGCCAGGTGTTAGATTTGGAGGTAGGAGAGCACTTTAGTGATAGTGACCACAATTCGGTTACGTTTACTTTAGCGATGGAAAGGGATCGGTATATAAAGCAGGGCAAGAGTTATAGCTGGGGGAAAGGCAACTATGAGGCGATGAGGCAAGATTTAGGATGCATAGGGTGGAGAAGGAAACTGCAGGGGCTGGGCACAATTGAAATGTGGAGCTTGTTCAAGGAACAGCTACTGTGTGTCCTTGAGAAGTATGGACCTGTCAGGCAGGGAGGAAGTGGTCGAGCGAGGGAACCGTGGTTTACAAGAGAAGTTGAATTTCTTGTCAAGAGGAAGAAGGAGGCTTATGTAGAGATGAGGCGTGAAGGCTCAGTGAGGGTGCTTGAGAGTTACAAGTTAGCCAGGAAGGACCTAAAGAGAGAGCTAAGAAGAGCCAGGAGGGGACATGAGAAGTCTTTAGCAGGTAGGATCAAGGAAAACCCTAAAGCTTTCTATAGGTATGTCAGGAATAAAAGAATGACTAGAGTAAGATTGGGGCCGGTCAAGGACAGTAGTGGGAAGTTGTGCGTGGAGTCCGAAGAGATAGGAGAGGTGCTAAATGAATATTTTTCGTCAGTATTAATGCAGGAAAAAGACAATGTAGTCGAGGAGAATACTGAGATACAGGCTATTAGACTAGACGGGATTGAGGTTCATAAGGAGGAGGTGTTAGCAATTCTGGAAGGTGTGAAAATAGATAAGTCCCCTGGGCCGGATGGGATTTATCCTAGGATTCTCTGGGAAGCTAGAGAGGAGATTGCAGAGCCTTTGGCTTTGATCTTTATGTCGTCATTGTCTTCAGGAATAGTGCCAGAAGACTGGAGACTAGCAAATGTTGTCCCCTTGTTCAAGAAGGGGAGTAGAGACAACCCTGGTAATTATAGACCAGTGAGCCTTACTTCGGTTGTGGGTAAAGTGTTGGAAAGGATTATAACAGATAGGATTTATAATCATCTAGAAAGGAATAATTTGATTAGGGATAGTCAACATGGTTTTGTGAAGGGTAGGTCGTGCCTCACAAACCTTATTGAGTTCTTCGAGAAGGTGACCAAACAGGTGGATGAGGGTAAAGCGGTTGATGTGGTGTATTTAGATTTCAGTAAAGCGTTTGATAAGGTTCCCCATGGTAGGCTATTGCAGAAAATACGGAGGCATGGGATTGAGGGTGATTTAGCGGTTTGGATCAGAAATTGGCTAGCTGTAAGAAGACAGAGGGTGGTGGTTGATGGGAAATGTTCATCCTGGAGTTCAGTTACTAGTGGTGTACCTCAAGGATCTGTTTTGGGGTCACTGCTGTTTGTCATTTTTATAAATGACCTGGATGAGGGTGTAGAAGGATGGGTTAGTAAATTTGCGGATGACACCAAAGTCGGTGGAGTTGTGGATAGTGCAGAAGGATGTTGTAGGTTACAGAGGGACATAGATAAGCTGCAGAGCTGGGCTGAGAGGTGGCAAATGGAGTTTAATGCGGAAAAGTGTGAGGTGATTCACTTTGGAAGGAGTAACAGGAATACAGAGTACTGGGCTAATGGTAAGATTCTTGGTACTGTGGATGAGCAGAGAGATCTCGGTGTCCATGTGCATAGATCAATGAAAGTTGCCACCCAGGTTGATAGCGTTGTTAAGAAGGCGTACAGTATGTTAGGTTTTATTGGTAGAGGGATTGAGTTTCGGAGCCATGAGGTCATGTTGCAGCTGTACAAAACTCTGGTGCGGCCGCACTTGGAGTATTGCGTACAGTTCTGGTCACCGCATTATAGGAAGGATGTGGAAGCATTGGAAAGGGTGCAGAGGAGATTTACCAGGATGTTGCCTGGTATGGAGGGAAGGTCTTATGAGGAAAGGCTGAGGGTTTTGAGGCTGTTTTCGTTAGAGGGAAGAAGGTTAAGAGGTGACTTGATAGAGACATACAAGATGATCAGAGGATTAGATAGGGTGGACAGTGGGAGCCTTTTTCCTCGGATGGTGATGGCTAGCACGAGGGGACATAGCTTTAAATTGAGGGGTGATAGATATAGGACAGATGTCAGAGGTAGGTTCTTTACTCAGAGAGTAGTAAGGGCGTGGAATGCCCTGCCTGCAAAAATAGTAGACTCGCCCACTTTAAGGGCATTTAAATGGTCATTGGATAAACGTATGGATGATAATGGAATAGTTTAGGTTAGATGGCCTTCAGATTGGTTTCACAGGTCGGCGCAACATCGAGGGCCGAAGGGCCTGTACTGCGCTGTAATGTTCTATGTTCACTATCCTATCTACCTGCGACTCCACTTTCAAGGAACTATGAACCTGCACTCCAAGTTCTCTTTGTTCATCAACACTGATGCGGAGGTGCCAGTGTGGGACTGGGTTGGACAAGGTCAAAAATCACACGGCACCAGGTTACAGTCCAACAGGTTCATTTGAAAACACTCAGAAAGCTAGTGATTTCAAATGAACCTGTTGGAGTATAAGCTGGTGTCGTGTGACTTTTGACCTTCAGCAACACTCCTCTGGACCTTAAGTGTGTAAGTCCTGCCCTGATTTGCCTTTCCAAAATGCAGCACCTCACATTTATCTAAATTAAACTCCAACTGCTACTACTCAGCCCATTGGATTCCATTGTACTCCAAGGTAAGCTTCTTCGCTGTCCAACACACCTCCAATTTTGGTGTCATCTGCAAATTTACTAACCATACCTCCTATGTTCACATATAACCCAGACCAGGTACAAATGGCAAATTTCCTTCTCCAATGAATGTTTGTATATAAGATGGCTTTTCATCCGGGTATCTGTTGAATTTTCATCATCTTTCACCACCAGGATTTGAATCTGTCACCAGGACTTCAGACCAGAGTTACTTGTGCACTGACATTACCACGATGCTACCATTTCCCCAAACGTTTGTATTTTTCTCGGAAAGATAATACAATACGATATTATTATCAAACCAGCCCCTTCTTGGTCGCTGGAGATCATGATTAGCTGATCTGTAATCAGCTAGGAACGGGAATAAAAACTAAAAGCTGAAGGGAAACAAACTTTGGAATTTTTTTCTTCAACCCTTCAGGTGATTGGACTAGTCCAGGAAATTAGATGAAACAAATATTATTTGGCCATCTATTGCACATATTCCAAACAATCTTGGAGAAAAACTGTCCAGAATTGTTTATTTCTGCTCTTGGATTTTTAAAATTGTATTAATGGTGTTTGGCACTTGCCGTGTTGATATGGTTTTGGCAATACCGGGCAACTTACTATCAATATGGGTCAATTCTTACAAAATTTTAAACCTGTCCCCTAACTGGTCACAATCTGTGGAATTTAAGATAGAGTACATGAACAAATTATGTGCAGATCTGGAAAAACTGAGCAGGTTTGGCAGCACCTGGGGCGAAAACAGTTCTGAAGGGTCACTGCACCTGAAACATTAACTCTGATTTCTCTCCACAGATGCTGCCAGACCTGCTGAGCTTTTCCAGCAACTTCTGTTTTTGTTTCTGATTTCCAGCATCTGCAGTTCTTTTGAATGTTTTTATGTGCGAATCTATTGCGTTACGTCATAAAAAGTTTGATCAACAATCATCAGTTTTTATTTAGTATGCGCAGTGCATGGCACTTAATATTTGTTGTGAATGAGAGGGATTGTCCAAATCTGTTTTCCGTATCTCAGGGAACTTGCCGGTCAATGAGGCGAGTGAAGAGGAAAATTATAAAATGTAACACTCAGCGGAACTGTGTTGCTGTAGATGGGGATCGGTGGGAAGGTTTACAGCGCTACACTTGCAGCCGTTCAGCGATTGGGCATTGCCGGTTATTGACGGCGTGCAGCCGGTGGTCTGGAGGCCCGGAGCTGTTGAACGACCAGAGTCTCATTCTCAGGTTCATCCATCAGCCAGGAGGATGTCGCGTAGTAAAGGAAGCAACATTTTCAGCGGATACCGGGCCCTGGCTCTTTACTGTAACCAGGTCCCGCACGTGGTCCGTTTCCACCAGCGACACCGAGAGTTTTATCTCGTCACAGCCGTGGGGGCTGCTTTTCACACTTACAATGTGAGTAAACTCACTTGCTGTAGTTAATAACAGCTTTCAAACATACAATATGAGTAAACTCACTCAGAGTCATAGAGATGTACAGCATGCAAACGAACGATTCGGTCTAACTCGTCCAGGCCGACCAGATATCCTAAATAAATCTAGTCTTATTTGGCACTCTCTGCATGAACAAGTTACCCCTTCGGTACCTTTTATATCTTTTCTCTCTCTCTCTCTCTCTCGTCTTAAACCTATGCCCTTTAGTTTTGGACTCCCCGACCCTGGGGAAAAGACCTTCCCTTTTACCCTATCCGTGCCCCTCATGATTTTATAAATCTGTATAGGGTCAACCCCTCCCCCAGCCTCTGATGCTCCAGAGAAAATAGCTCCAGCTATTCAGCCTCTTCCTACAGCTTAAACCCTCCAACCATGGGAACATGCTCATAAATCTTTTTTGAACCCTTTTTAGTTTCACAACATCCTTCCTATAGGAGGGAGACCAGAAGTGAATGCAGTATTCCAAAAGCTGCTGAACTAATGTCCTGCACAGCTGCAACATGACTTCCCAACTCCTATGCTCAATGCACTGACCAATAAAGGCAAGCATACTGAATGCCTTCTTCACCATCCTATCTACCTGCGACTTCACTTTCAAGGAACTATGAACCTGCACTCCAAGCTATCTTTGTTCAGCAAAACTCCCTAAGACCTTACCATCAAGTGTATAAGCCCTGCCCTGATTTGCCTTTCCAAAATGCAGCACCTCACATTTACCTAAATTAAACTTCCATCGACCACCCATCTGATCGAGATCCCGAAGTACTCTGAGGTAACCTTCTTCGCTGTCCGCTACATCTCCAATTTTAGTGTCATCTGCTAACTTCCTAACCATGCTTCCTATGTTCACATCCAAATCGTGTGTATAAATGACAAAAAGTATTGGACCCAGCACCAAACCTTGTGGCACATCGGTGGTCACGTGCCTCCAGTCTGAAAAAAGCAACCCTCCACCACCACCACCCTCTCCTGTCTTCTACCTTTGAGCCAGATCTGTGTCCAAGTAGCTAATTCTCCCTATGTATTCCATGTGATCTAACCTTGCTTATCAGTCTACCATAATGAACCTGGTCCAACGCCTTACTGATGCCCATAAAGATCACATCCTTTGCTCTGCTCTCATCAGTCCTTTTCATTACTTCTTCAAAAAACTCAATCAAGTGTGGCTGTTAATAACAGCTTTCGAATATACCCTGTGAGTAAACTCACTCCTTGGGTTTGAATAATAGCTTCCAACCATGCATGCATGAATGACAGCCTACACGTGATGTCCAAGCTCTCTTCTTTTTTTTTCCCCCTGTGGTGGAGAGTTCTCATGACTGAAGAGTCCGATGCAAGATTAGTGTGAACTGTACATATCTGGCAGTTTGTGTTATTTCTCTTGGTGCTCGAGGTAGGTTTTCCAATTGCCACTTCTTCTGGTCATGCTTGGTACAGAGAGTTGCCATAGCTGGTCTTCAACATAAGATGATCCAAGTTTCAGTGTTTCCTATCACATGGGTCAGTCAGTTGCAGTGTTTTTTAAGACAAATGGTCTGAAATGTGGAAGTTTCCAAGCCCTTTTGAGGTACTTTTGCAAAAAAGTTAATGCTGCCGTAGTCCTACCAAATCATAGGGGTGGCCCCTAATTTAGAAAGAGATGACTGGCAATTGTTTAACCTGAGGGTTATCATGCCATGGGAGAGGGGAGAGGTTGAGATGGAGAGTCCTTCACGGCAACCTCAGCGAGCGCGTGAATGGAACTGATATTGTTGGCATCACTCTGCATTGCAAGCCAGCCGTCAATTAACTGAACGTAGTGTCCTTGCTTTGCAATGCTGAATACTTTGATGCCCTGAGATAGTTCCCCATGGAAGATCTTTTTGGACATTACTATTAAGTTGAATTTTCTCAAAGATGATCTTCATACTGCTGAGCCCATGACAAAGAAGGACTTTGTATATGATTTTGTCCTATCTTTGAATTTTGATGGTGGACTTTGGAAGTCTTTGCTGGAAGCATTTCAGAACTCCGCCTATGGCAGACCCAGAATTCTGTGTCCAGCAGCAGGATGCAAGAGACAATGGTGACAGCCATAGGCAGAATTTGCTTTCTGAATGCATGCATGGACAGCTTCGTCAATGATTGCATTCCAGAGCACGTACTACCAAGGTATGAACATTTTTCTACAATCTTCAAACTTGCGCCATTAACAGTTTGTGCTTCAGAGCATGTGCCTGGTGCTGGCTGAAATAACCATGATTTTGCAGATGCTGTTTTGAGCACTAAAGTTTTTGGAAGTACTCAAGAATTAGTTTTCCACGTGTCCCTTGTTGTGGACAGCTAGGGCACAGTGATTCCATGTAGAAATTTTCTAATTTTTGCTTCTGTGACTTTAATGGCACTGTAGAAATTGAAGATTTTCTCAAACAGAACCTAAAGTTGATGCCTCCAGCATATTTCTGGTGGCTTCCTTTTAACATAGGTGCAGAGAAGAGGTTGAGAAGTCGTGACGAATTTTTAGTTTATGATGCTGGTCACCATAAAGGTTAAAATATCTCACCACTAGTGAAAACAGGCCAAACTGTGCCTGCATACAGTAGTCACAGGAATTTAACAAATTTATTTAGACATTTGAAGGAAATCCCTGCCTAATGGCATTGAGTCCAGCTACAGCAAATGGGCTACAGTGGTTCAAGAATACAACTTGCTACCACTTTCTCAAGCACAACTAGGGACAAGCAATAAAAAAAACAGAGCTGGCCAGCCGGTGATGCCCATGTCCCACAAGTGAATGGAAAAAAAAAGCTCAGTGAACACCTATAATGTGAATGATATCGCTCCTCCTTGTATGTTAAGAACAGCCTTCCATATCTCCAATTTGAACCTTCATGGCCAGGCTAGTTTCTTTTATGTATGGGTATATAGAGATATGGAACAAAAGCAGATTTAATTGGAGTTATTGATGAGCCATGATCATAATTGCATGTTGGAGTAGGCCTGCTATTGTTCCAGCTGTTTGTATGATGGATCTGAGATGCTACCTGTTTGATTCTTGTACTGGTAATGAAGAAAAAGCAAATTTGCAAATGCACACAGTGTCTTTGACAACTTCAGGTCCCAAAAAAGGCAGTCAAAACATCACTATTCTAAGGATTATGGCAAGAAATTTGCTCGCAGAATTAAATAAATGGTCATTTGATCTGGCAGTGCTCTGACAAACTGGCTGAGAATGAACATAGAACATGCTACCTTCTGGCATGTGCCTTGATGATATGCACTTCATTAATCTCTGGGAGCTGTGGGGTTACTAAAAAGGAGAACCTTTTCTTGATAATTAAGTGATGAACCCAGAAGTTGAACAGTAGAGAATTTGACAGTTTTGTGTGCTGCTGAGAAAATATAGATTTGTTTGAGTAAGAAGGCAGTCATAAATGACTGTAAGTAGTAATTTGGATTTGTAAGTACCTTAACGTAGTAAAATGTCACATGTGCTTCATAGGAATATTAGGAGAAAAAATTGTTAATGTGACACATAAGGAGACATTAGAGCAAATGAACAAAAATTTGATTAGTAAGAGGGGTTTTTAAAGGGTGTCTTAAAGGAGGTGGATGAGGGAACAGTGTGGGAGTGTAGGGATTGAATTTAGAGCTTGGGACTCTGGCAGCTTAATGTGCACTCGTCTTTAGTAGAGCAATTAAAATCAAGATTTCTATAGGCTAGAATTAAAGGAATGCAGAAAACTTGGAGTGTGCTAGTGGAGATTAGAGATATTGGGGAGTAGAAATTTGAAAATCAGGATGAGAATTTTAAAATTGAAACATTGGAACGCGAACAGAGCATGGAGTTTAACCTTGAGATGCTTTTTGGCCTAAAATTGTACTGGAGTTAAAACACAAAGTTGTCATGTTTGGTTTTGTTAAATTTTAGTGATAAGTGCATTATGGGATGCAGATCCAAGAAATAACTGAAGCTTAGAATCATGCAGCATTTTGGGGGGAATTTATGCAAGATTTTGGGGCTCCCAAAATCTTGAATTCCATTATGGAAAAAAATTTACTGTCTTTCTTGACTACTGCAGCTTTTAAGGATGTGATGCATAAATGGTATTGGAGATGATGATAATGCACATGTCAGGTAGATGGCCTACCTATGACAGTGAATTAAAGAAAATGAAGTTTCCATTTAAGGACACTTTTAACATTCTTAAAATATCTTGAGGTACTTCACAACTAATGAATTACTGTTATGTAGACAAATACAACCACTAAATCCTGCAAACAGGAAAAGTTAAGCAGTTCACTACTTGACTTTGAATCATTCTATGCAATCTTTTGCTTTCTACTTAAAAAGATGTGAATGAAATATTAAATCAAGACCCCATGTTGTCATTCTGACAATTCTGCACTGAGTGGTTAGTTTGCTCACTTGGCTGGCTGGTTGGTTTGTGATGCACACTAACCCCAACAGTGCAGTTCGGTTATCACACTGGCTGAGGTTAGCACGAAAGTCCTGACTTCTCAACCTCGTCTTTGCCTGAGGCATGGTGACCCTCAGGCTGAACTCACCATCAGTTATGTCTTTCTAATGAGAAAGTAGTCCTATAGACCTCTGGAAACTGGTGACTTTACCTTTTATTGATGCTGCGCTGAGTTCAGCTTAAATGGTATGCTCGAGTTAGAGAAGAGGAAAATGGACTATCATCAAGATAGGAAATGTGACAGTCGGCTTTGGTAATTCTGAGTGTGTTGAAGTGCAGACATGTTCCGTGTTGTCAGCGATTAAAGAAGGCAACTATGGACAACGTATTTGGGATTTTATAGTTGAGGATAGACAATAAAGGATTTCAGATCTCCTAAATATCTCTAAAGGACATTGATGTAGCAGTCTTTACACAATCAACAACGGTTTTGTGGTCAAATTTCGAAGCTTTTTTAAATTGATCTCAATCTGCTGTGGTGGGATTTGAGTGTAGGTCCCTACAGTATTACCTGTTTATCAGGATTAGAGGACTGCACCATCACCTTCGTCCATGTTTATGCGTTTTCAGTTGTAAAATGTTGAATGTTCCACTGCATAATTTATATCGGAAGTAGACATAATTAGCTCACAAATTATGACTGCAGAAAATGAGCTTTGTGTTTGGAAGGTGAGCACTGTAAACAGAACTTTAAATATACACAGTTGTGCCATGGTTAGGTTGCTGGACTGCTAATACAGTGAATGAGGATTCATATCTTACTACTGCACTTTAAGACTTTGAATTCATAACAACACTAATAGGATCAAAAGTAGGCCAGATGAATTCAGTTCAAAGAATCTGACCCTGAAAAGCCAGTGGTTGCACCATGAACAAGTCTGCCACCAATAATGTCCTGGGAGGCACCATTTACTAAAAATAGAGTCACAGCACAGAGAAAGGCTCTTTGGCCCATGGAGTCAGTGCCAGTCAAAAAAATAAACTACCTAAATATCCTAGCCCCATTTCCCAGCACCTGGACCATAGCCTTGTATATGCTCTGGCATCGTTAGTGTACATCTAAATACTTATTAAATGTTAATGGGGGTTTCTGTCTCAACCACCCTGTCTCTACAGCAGTGAGTTCCAGATTCCCAACACTCCCTATAAATCTCCTGCCCTTTACCTTGAATCTATGCCCACAGTCATTGATCTCTCCAACAAGCAGAAAAGTTCTTTCCAGTCGATCTGGTCTATACTGCTTATACTTTTATTCATCTCAATCATGACCATCTCCGTCTCTTCTGCTCCAAAGAAACTAACCCCAGTCTTTGTGAGCATGTGGTTCCCTGTTGATAGAGATAGACCAGATCCTACCAAGCGAGACATTCTGGGAAGGATCTCCAATTATCACAAAATACTAAACTGTCTTCTGCACACCCAAGCCAACACTGAGATTGACCACAGTACTGCATCCACCAGACATCCCAGAGCCTTCAGCCTGTGACTGGGATTGTGAGAGAGAGGAAGAGAAGGAAAGCATTATAATCTAACACCCACAGGGCCTGCATTCCACCTACATTACTGGGAAAAGGAGAGAGAGTTTAGAAACAATCGCCAACACAATTCCAGTGTGTCTGCTGGAGGAATCAGCACCTGGGTATTTTGTAACCAGTAGTTCGCCTCATGGTGTGTCAAACTTTACCAGCACTTGCATAGTACAAGTGAAAACAGTGATAGAGGACTCTACTTGACTAGGTGGGTGATTTCAACTCCAGCGACACTTGAAGGCCAACACCATCTGGGATGAAGGAACCTGCTTAATTGCACTCCATTCATCAGCACGGCATATCCACAGGATACACTAAAGCAATTTGACAAAGGTTCTTTGGCAGCATCTTCCAAACCTGTAACTTCCATCGCTTTGAAGGACACAGGCAACAGATACATAGGATCACAGTCACTGCCAAATTTGTCTTCTGGTCATTGGCTTGGACAGGTGTTGCCATTTGTTTGTTGCTGGATCAAAATTGAGCAGCATCCTGCGAACAAGATTGAAGGGGGTCATTTGCTGCATGAACTGTATATTTTTGTTTTGTACAGGATAAGTTCGTTTTTTATTTTGAAATGCTATGTCATGTATCATCATCATTGATCATATAATTTGTATGTTACCCTCTAGAAATCAGGAATAAGCTAACCACTAATGTAAAATTTTGTTGTTCAACAGGTGAAAAAACTTGGAATTGTTGCAGTTAGTAAGTATGCAAATATCTATTCCTATTCTGAAAATTTGAATTGTTTGTACTTTAAAAAAGAAGTCTCCATTTTTTTGAGAAATACAATTTAGGCTCATTTTGCATGATAATATGTATTTAAATACAAAGTGAGAAGTATCCTATAGGTTTAAGAGCACCTTGAAACATTTCAAGCACCCACTCCCCACTCCGTCAATGCCCAGAAACAGCAGTGTGTATGATCTACAAGGTGCTTTGCGGATTTGCCAGAGTTCCTTTATATAGCACCTTCCAAATGCACGAGCACTAACATCTCGAAGAACAAGAGCAACAGATGTATGGAAGCAACACCACCTACAAATTCCTGGCTAAGCCACACATTATCCTGACTTGGAAATATATCACTGTTACTTCAGTAATGCTGGGTCAAAATCCTGGAACTCCCTGATGGCATTGTGGGTCTACATACAACACATGGTCTGAAGTGGTTTAATAAAATAGTTCACCATCACCTTCTCAAAGGCAACTAGGGTGGGTAATAAATGCTGGCCCAGCCAGCGATGCTCATGCCCATGAATAAATAAAAGAAGCCTACGAAATATTGTTTTGAAACTGCTTAAAAATAAGTGCAGACTATTCTAAGAAATATATTTTACTGCTCTTTGTTAACAGTAACTTGAATGTGGGCCGGGGTAGGGGGAAACAAAACAAATCATGATCATCATATTCTTCTGGAACTTGTTTGTATTTGGTGGGTTTCTTCACATTACAGACCACCTATATTTGTCAGTTTAATCAGTTTTTGTGGTTGTTTATACTATGCACGTTTAGTTTAGGATTATGCAGCCTTCATGCTGATGGTTTAATATTGAATTAGTATATCTTTCATACCCTGAAGTGGGAGAGTGTGATAGGGTTAGAAGATCTTTGAACCTATTTGTAAAGAATACAGCATGACTGCTAATTGCTTGCCATGCCACCCTTCCCCCCTCCTCCACACTTCACC